CCATCGACGTTGGGTAATGCACAAGATTACCTGAGATAGTACACGAGACTATCTGATAGTTCACAGGGCCATCGACGTTGGGTAATGCACAAGATTACCTGGGATAGTACACAAGACTATCCGATGGTTCACAGGACCATCGACGTTGGGTAATGCACAAGATTACCTGGGATAGTACACAAGACTATCCGATGGCTCACAGGACCATCGACGTTAGGTAATGCACAAGATTACCTGGGATAGTACACAAGACTATCCGATGGCTCACAGGACCATCGACGTTGGGTAGTGCACAAGATTACCTGGACAGCAAATAGGACCATTCCAAGGTACATAGGACCCTCTCAGGTTGAGCGAAGTTTCCAACCTTGCCTCACTGGAATGTACAGATAGGGGTCGGTATCAGCAACCGGCNTGTTAAGCTTGCAGAAATTATTACCTGAACAAAAAAAAAATATGACCGTATAGAAAATTAAATTTTAAATCTAGTTTCTTGTTCTTTAAACTCGATCAAAAATGGCGAACATGGTTAAAAAATACGTAAAGTTGCAAAATACGGTTTTTCTAAAATAACTATAAAAATATAGCAAAGATTGAAAAATTTTAAATGAGAAATTTGTAGGATTTAAAGAGATCTATTGACTGATTTTTTGTAAGTATCGATTGCTTCGTTACTTTTCGTGATTTTTTTGGGTATTTTTTTTTTTTTCAAATAACTATTTCAATTTTTATTTTATGAAAATGACTTTTATAGAAAGAAACTGCTGACATTTTTTCACGAATTTAAAAAAAAAATGTTTTTCTACGACTTCTGGAGCCGAGGTAATTTTTTTAATTAAAAAAAAATTGAGGACGCAATTAACATTTTACAGCGATGCGCTTGATGGAGGTTAATATTGAATACTTATATTTTCAAAAAAAAAAGCGTGCAAGCGCTGAGTGCGTCAGCTGGACCGATCGGAGAAGTAGGGGGAAGCGGCGCGCGCTTGCTCTGAAAACTGATGACGTGCAGTCTAAATAAAAACTAAACATTTACGAGACTATTTTGCTTCTAAGGCGAAAATGACTATAATATTCGTGTTTAGCTATCCCAGATTAAGTACAAAATAATTTTTGTACGTGGTCCAGAAGCCGAGATATCAAAAATTTTGCAAGCGCCAGCCATTTAGACTTCACGTCATCACTTTTCAGAGCGAGCGCGCGCCGCTTCATCCTACTTCTCCGTTCGGTCCGGCTGACGCACTCAGCGCTTGCACGCTGCAGTATATTACTCAATTACTAATACTAAAAATCAAGTAAACATATCCTATATATATATTTTTTTTTCTGAAAATATAAGTATTCAATATTAACCTCCATCAAGCGCATCGCTGTAAAATGATAATTGCGTCCTCAATTTTTTTTTAAATAAAAAATTATCTCGGATTCAGAGGGTCGTAAAAAGATATATATTTTTTAAATTCGTGAAAAAATGTCAGCAATTTCTTTCTTTAAAAGTCATTTTCATAAAATAAAAATTGAAATAGTTATTTGAAAAAAACATACCTAAAAAAAGTGCAACTAATTGCAAGTAATTTTTTGATCCTTAAAATTAATAAAATCGTCAAGATTTTTTATCAGCATGATAATATAACTCTTTACGAAGAAAATAAATCGAAAATCGTCACTATAGGGCTATCCGCTGAGAAGATGTAGCTAATTTTCGAGATTGCCTTTTTTTCAAAAAATCGATATATCTCGAAAAACAATTAATATTTTTAAATTTTTCAAAAATGTACTTTTTTGGCTTGCCGCGGACTATGCTTGCAGTAAATAGCAAATATGGAAACGTAAATGTAAACAAGTTATAGAAGAAGAGAAAAGAGAAGATTTTTAACGGTTTTTTCGATATATCTCGAAAAGTAACAAAGCAATCGATACTTACAAAAAATCAGTCGATAGATCTTTTTAAAACCTATAACTTTCTCATTTAAAATTTTTCAATCGGTGTTATATTTTTTTAGTTATTTTAGAAAAACCGTTTTTTGCAACTTTGCGAATTTTTTTAACCACGTTCGCCATTTTGGATCGATTTTAAATAACAAGAAACTCAATTTAAAATTTAATTTTCTATACGGTCATATTTTTTTTGTCCAGGTAATAATTTCTGTAAGCATTTCTCTATAAAGCTTGGACTATGATGTAAATGCGGTTATATGCGTAAAAACTGAATGTGACATGGTGCTATTGATTATTTTTTATCTCTGATATATTCAGTTTTGAAGGGACAAAGCCACTTTCTATAACTGTCATCAATTTATCACAGAAGAAGAGATTTTCCATATTATTTATTCAAATGTTTGTTATTGCCACATCGCTACAATGTATGTTCTGATTTCTGACTGGATCATTAATTATGATGAGTCAGGAAATAATATCGTTTAAGGGAACTGACAACACACCAAAAATGAATTTTTCAGTTGATTAAACAGCAAAGCACCGACTTCTCATATTAAAATTATTTCTCAAGATGTCTCAAGAATTTTCAATAAAATGATGTCGTACTATATCGCCTGTTTGGAAAATAATTTTCTTCACTCAATTTCCAAGGATCTGTCGAATTAAAAGTCCGTTTCATATTTCTCAACTAAAATTGCATTGGTCAATATTCAGTCAGAAATTCCGTACTAAGAAAGAGTAATAAAATTGGTCTAATTTTTTACTGCATTTTATGCATGTTAGTTTTTGTGCCAAATAAAATAAATCACTGGAGAATTTAAAGAAACATATATCATCTTTTGGCAGGATACGTAGGACATAATAATTAGAGACGATTATTTACATATCACTGGCCATATGTATCTGCCGCTATTTTAAAAAAATAAAATAAACGCGACGAAAATAAATTAAAACGGCAATCGCTTCAGTTTTTGGCAATAACTGTGAAATATTTCCAGGCCAAGTCCACAATAACTTTGACTTAGTCGGTTTGAGCAACGGTCAAGTGTGACTTGACTTAAGTCAGTGCAGTGGTTCTGTCACAAAAAACCTAACGTAAGTACTAAAATATGTTTTCGGTGCATTCTAAGATTTTATAGCGAATGTTGGCAACAATGGTTTCCCAATTAATAAAAACTTTAAATGGATATAGTTATTTTCAGTTGTTATATAATAAAATAAAATTTATTTGAAGCTATACAATTTAAATAAATATAATAGCGGTTTATATTACAATCTAGCTTTATGTTTTTTGTTTATGGAATTTCAATTTTAGTTTTAATGTTTAAGATGTTACCAGTCTAGAACTAATACCAAATCACAGAATTATGTCATACGAACCATTACTATTATACTGCAAAATATAATTGTTGCCTACTTTGCTACACTCGGTACTCCAATATTATCTGGATCAAAACTTGTGTCCCTTTGTAGACCATGTTGAAGTTAAGGTACGACCACATATATGGCAACCAGGTGCGATGGTATCCTTCTTCCAGATACTATTACGATAACGCACTGGGACCTCTATCAACTTACTGGCCCCTTGGTTACAACCGTCTCTTTCCCTATCACTGGCCAGTTAGTTTGCTTGATTTGTGGCCTACTGAGCATCATCTCAGGAAGATAAGAGTAAGAAAATTTCAAGCAGCGTTGACGAATTTCTAATTTATATTTATTTATTCACTCTAGGTTCGTAACAACTTGTACACTTTGCGGTGAAGAGATATTGAAGTATGGCTGTGATATAATATAAAATAGATTTACTAAAGAATGTAATTTCAGCTTGTTAACGTTGATTTTGTGTTTAATAAAGAATTGTAAACAAAATCATAGAATTGTTTAAGTATACGCTGTAATCAGTTAAAATATTTTTGGAAACAGTTACTGAGCTACAGTTTTGTGTTTTGAGCTATTTCCGCTCTTCTTTGTAAATTAGCATGTTTTTAAACGAATGAATTATTATTTAACTTTGTTTATTGTTCATTGGATAACAGATTACTTCATCCAAAAATAATTTTGACGAAATACATATTTCCGTAGATATTATATAAAGGATTTGTATTTTGGGCGAAAACAATTTTGAGAAAATAAACACACTGGTCTCTGCCAAACATAAGAATATTTAAGAGCAGAAAAATTGGCAGTTTTTAAATACATAAAATCCGCATCATGTATAATCTTTTGTCTACTGGCAAATGACGTCACATGGTACTACTTAATTCTGTATTCCTACCACACTGAAAAGAATATAGGTACAACCTATTTTTTTTAAATATATGTGTCCTATATACCCTACATAAATCCAAAACAACTTTGAATACCTTTCCGATACGGAAACTTCAGGGACCAATAGAGATTAAAAAAATAATATGAGTTTCTCATATAAACTATATTTCAAAAATGCTTCGTTAAGAAAATTCAAGTTGTTAAAGATTGGTTAAAAAAAATCAAATTTACTAATTGTTGTCAAACGGCTAAAGACATTTCATTGAAATTTGCAGACGTTAACTACTATCTAAAGAGCACGTTTTGCAATAAAAAAAACATCATTTTTAATTCTGCCAGTGGCGTCCGTACTAGCACGTTACTGGATATTTCTAAAGAAAAAAATTGTACGGCACTGCTTTTACATAAAATAAAAATCAATTTTGGATTCTTCATTCAATTTGGAAGAAAGAAGCTATCTTTAGAGTTTTCTGTACAACTCAACGTTTTCGAGTAAAAAAATAAAAAACACTTTTAACACATACAATGTAAATGTAATTTCATTTTTTAAGTTAATGAAACTAACAAGAAAAACAACCAATTTAATTAGTGACGTACAACAGCAACAACAATAAAATAAAATAAAAATGTAAGTTAAAGAAATCGCTCGACATGTAGTCCACCCACCTCAATACATTTTCGACATCGTGTAACTAATTAATTTATTGCAGCAGCTCCTTCATTTGGATTTCGCCGCATATCATTGGCATGAAGGCTCGCTGAATCCTTGAAACTAAATCATCTCTTGTTAACACTGGAGTAGCGTAAACTTTGTCTTTTACATTTCCCCAAACGTAAAAGTCCAGTGGCGTACCATTCTTTTCTTTAGAAATATCCAGTAACGTGCTAGTACGGACGCCACTGGCAAAACTAAAAATAATGTTTTTCATTGCGAAACGTGCTCTTTCAGTGGTAGTTAACGTCTATAAAATTTCATTGAAATATATACTCGTTTGACAAGAATGAATAAATTTGATTTTTTTAAACCAATATTGAACACCCTGTATTTTCTTAACGAAGCATTTTTCGAATATGACATATATCAAGCTCATATTATTTTTTGAATCTCTATCGGCCCCTGAAGTTTCTGAAGCTGCTTCATATGTCCTCATAAATAAAAGTCCATAGGATTTAGATCCGGGGAACGCTTTGGCCATGCTATTATTGGACCTTGTTAACCTATCCATTAATTCGGGAAATGAACGTTTAACTAAGAAATTACCTATCTCCCTATATGTAGTGGTGCACCATCGTACTAATACCACATATTTTGAATAATATTATACCCTACGTCATCAATTAAATGAAAAAGGTTGTTTTCCAAGAAAGTTACATACAGATCTGTATTTAAACGATCAGTTGTACAGGCAGTAAATTATTATTGAAAATGTTATCCCAAATCGTCTTAATCTAATTGCATGCGGATTTTGTAACGCTCAGATATGTTCATTATGATTATTAATTATGCCGCCCCTAATAAAACTCGCTTCATCAGACCACATGACAGGCGAAAGGAATCTATCATTTTGTGCAAGTAACCAGGGACAAAATTCTAATCGCTGAGGAGCATCTCCAGCATGTACCACTAGTACATTTTGGCGATGAAATGGATACATACAAAATTTGATGCTAAATAAAGATCTTGCTATACGCTGAACACTAATTTATAATTAATAACAACAAGAGTTGTCAATGACAGCATCTATTACATCGTCTCCATTTTGTACATTCATTTCAGTAGGACGAATAACCTTTTTTGGAACGGGGTTACTTTCTACGCGAAGTCTACGAAATGATGAATTAAATACTGTGAGAGCAGGTTGATGTCTGTTTGAGTATCTTCGTCGGTATTTTCGGGCTGCTTATCTGGCGTTCTCACTGAAAAATATCCATACACAAAGATAATATCTGCATATCTTCAGCTGTAAATAAATGAAATTTTTTATTTAGCACTTTAACCCTAAGTGTCAAATGAATAAACAAAATGACACAAATAACAATTATGTAATTTACTTATCAGACTACTTTGATTAAAATATATAATGTTAGAGTTAATGATTGAAACAAATAAAACCAAGTCAATTAAATACAATACGGTTTTTAATCACCGACAATATTAATACAACTCGGAACAAAATATAACATTCAACCGCGCACTACGCAGCTCAAAACCTATCTGTCCCTTAAAACCCCTATCCAGTACTCTATCAACACTTCTCACCCAAACTGTGGCCCCGTTGCCCTCCCATTCATTAGGAACCTTTGGTTACAAATCAGTCTATATTACCAACATGTCAAGTTAAAATAAACAATTTTTAATGCGATTCTAACATTCGGCCATCCTGACGTGGTCGCGTCCCCGCGGCCTACCAGCTGAAATGGAGCAAACTCAAGCCATTGGGAAGTCGACAGGGCCATCGACGTTGGGTAATGCACAAGATTACCTGAGATAGTACACGAGACTATCTGATAGTTCACAGGGCCATCGACGTTGGGTAATGCACAAGATTACCTGGGATAGTACACAAGACTATCCGATGGTTCACAGGACCATCGATGTTGGGTAATGCACAAGATTACCTGGGATAGTACACAAGACTATCCGATGGCNAGCTCAAAACCTATCTGTCCCTTAAAACCCCTATCCAGTACTCTATCAACACTTCTCACCCAAACTGTGGCCCCGTTGCCCTCCCATTCATTAGGAACCTTTGGTTACAAATCAGTCTATATTACCAACATGTCAAGTTAAAATAAACAATTTTTAATGCGATTCTAACAGTAATTATATTTTTTAAAATACTTGTAATTTCTAAACAAAAACAAATCGGACTGTTCATATAAGAAAAGATGTTTGAAATTAACCCAGCGACCATCTGTCAAAATTTGTACACTTTTTATAAATATTGCAATTGCCATGTACATAAGGTCATACACACGATTGATAATTGTAACTGATTAATTTTTTAATATGTCGTCTTCAGTATTTAAATTGACCGTCGTATCATAATTAATTGTATTTAGTAAGAACTCGACATCCCTGGGATCGATAAATGGTATATACAGAGTGGGGCATTTATCTTGAGACAAAATAATATCTCGGCATCGAAAAAGTTTCAGACAAAAATTGTAGAGGACCGAGGGGGCCATTGAAAGGTCCATCTTACGATTTCGTTTGAAAAACGAAAAAAATAAACTTTTTGTTTTTATTATTTTTCCGATTTAACTCGTATTTTGGCCACAAAGTGGCCATAAAAGACAAAAAAAAAACAATATCTCATTCGAATCACTTTTTTTTAAATGTTTCATACAAAAGTTGTAGGGACTATCTTGACATGACCTTGAAAAGGATCTTGACCTTCCAGGTCGTTTAAAGATCAAATTCAAAATTTTAAATGGGACCCTCTTTTTTGACCTCGAAAATTACAAGAGCGGGTAGTTGTTCGTACCACACTTTGTCAGTTAGGTATTCAGATTTTTAGTAGTATTCAGAACTGATCACAAATTTTAATAAATATGTCAACTATATATGGCAAGGTATAAATGTAAAAGGTCTGCGAATATTACAGAAATAACTTTCCCTGCAAATATATTGACAAAGTTAAGGTGGTTAAGCCGTTTCCTCTTCTTTGTTATTGGCTGCAATACAAGCCTTTTATTATACAACCAATAACAAGGACATAAACTAAAATCAAGAACTGGAACTTACCTTTATACCCGGCTTTAGGGACACAAACGAGTCATAAACTATAAAATTATTCAATTGTTTTTAATTGTACTTTAACTCCAAGAAAATTTGTGAAGTAATTTTTATTTGAAAAGTATACCTAATTGTGATTAATTTAAATGTTGAGATTTAGTGATATTCTGAGAAGTGAAATTTGAAATAAGGTAAAGTAAATCAATATTAAAACTGTTTGAAATCAGTATTTCTTGCAAATATTGAGACGCCTTACATTTTATATACCTAAGTACATATGCAGGCTGTCTTACGGTGACGGCCCATTAGGATATTTCAGAGACTACTTCGATTTCAGTTTTGAAAATGAAGGTTTTGGAGTTTTCGGGGTGCTATTTTTATATAAAATAATTCCATTGTTGTAGCTCTTCCGGTTATTCCGAAAGTCGCCATCACATGCTTATTTTAAATGGAACACCATGATATTTCTGCAAATTTTTTAGGGGGACTTTCAAGCCTCCCTAATATCCCTATCTCTAATGATCTTCGAGATATTTCAATTCTATCAAAATCGGTTTTTCTAAATGGAAGATCCTGTAGATTTAATTAAAATCTGTTGTAGAATTTGCCTCTCTATCTATCCATATTAACTTCCCTATTTTTTTGTGAATAGTCATTAGAATGATCCAATTTCTTGCGAGGATGGCTGTGAAATTGCTAGCAAACTTAAAACAAAGCAACCAATATGTCATAAGTCATCATTTGCTGTTAATCTGACAGTGGCAGTTAAATATTGATTTATAAAAACCATATTCCACTGCCGGTATTTAAAATTTATTGTTTATTCGTGGGTAGTGCAATGGAATTATAAATAGAACATGCA